TTAGGTGCAATCCAGAGGGTTAATGGCATTCTAGCATACCAGTTTTGCTCCCATTGCTTCCTTTGGAGTGAATAGACCAGGTAGCCCTGATTGATTTATTATTTGTATTTGAAAAATATTTTTTTCTGCTTTGCCTGCCATGACCTAAGAGTTTGACCTGTTAATTTAAAATATTTAAATAGATTGGCAATGTGATATGTTCATGTATTTAGCCTAAAATTATAATTTATGAGCAGTCTTTCCTCTCTGTTTGTCTTTTTCTCTCTAACGTTCTCTCTTGATATTTGATACTGGATTATTCATAAACATTCATTCATTCATTCGTTCATTCATCATCTCATGTATATGAGAGATCACAAGGCCTAGAAAAGCATCGAAGTTTCATTTAAAAATAACCAAACAATAGCCTGAATGGTATTTATGTGTGTTATTTACAAATGCAATAAGAAATACTATAAAAGTAATTACAACAGACTAATGATGAATACTAAATCTTCCTTTAATACACTATCCTCTCATATTTTTTTCTGGATGACTCATTTCTATTAAAATGGGTGCTTTTTCCAAAACCCATTTCTTTCCGAGAACATTTCAATATTAAAACATCAGCACTGAATCATAAATACATTAAAGTGGCATGGAGAGAAAAAGAAAGACAAGATAAAATTGTGATGATGCCAAGAAGAAAGAACGTGGGGAGGAAAACTAGCAATTCCCAAAATATGCATGCATTACCCTGTAATCAGCCTGAAGTGTTAATTAGACTCACATGAATGATGTGTATTTCAGAATGTGTTTAGGAATTGTAGCTTATTTTAGAAGTGTATTATAGGCATTTCTGTAGCTGTTACCAAGGGAAAAGTTCTTTATCAATTTGTTAAGCATAATTTTGAATGTGAATATAAGTTTACCCTCTGATAGATATTTATTTATTTAAATTGTATACCACCAGCCTCAACTGACTCTCTGGAGTCTACACCATAGTCACCTAAATGATATACAATGAAATATCACAAACAATATAATAATGACAAACTAGATCCACAAGCACTACAAAGATACTATGAAAGAAACCCTACACCACTGTGACACACAGCCAAAGGAATTAAGGCAGCTGCTGACAGAACCCACTGTGGGCCCTGGGCTATTGCTATGAGACTTTGCCAGCTTTGAAGAAAGTCACCAAAACCTGATAGAAAACCATGAGTGGCCTCACAGAATCACATCTACAATTACTACAGCAATGGACTGTCAATGCCTCCATTTGTGCTTCTGAACTGGGATTTCAGAATTACTTCTACAAATGAACTGTATAGGTAGTTGTTGACTTTTGACCACAAAAAAAAAAATCTGTTGCTAAGTGAGACATTTGTTAAGTGAATTTTGCCCATTTTATGACCTTTCTTGCCACCATTGTTAAAGTGAATCACTGCAGTTGTTTAATTAGCAAACATGATCATTAAGTGAATCTGGCTTTCCCAACAGCTTTGCTTGTCAGAAGGTTGCAAAAGGTGATCACATGACCCCAGGACACGGCAAGTATCATACATCTGAACCAATCACCAAGCACCTTAATTTTAATCACTTGATCTTGGGGATGCTGCAACAGTTGTGTGAAAAACGGTCATAAGTCACTTTTTTCAATGCTATTGTAACTTTGGTCACTAAAGAAACTGTTGTATGTTGAGGATTATCTGTACAACCATGTTTCTCTTTCAATCCCAAAAGATTACAATCAATTAGTCAATCAATCAATCTTGGGTATAATTATCAAGGTGCAGTTTTAGATTTACTTTTTTCTCCTTTCTAAAGATAAGGGCAACTTTTCCTCTCTTCTGGTCTGCTGGCAGTCTACCAGACTAATAAATGAATTTGAGCGATAACAATATGGTAGCACCAGTTAATTTCTTCACTGTCTGAAGATAATTTTTTCATTATATTAAGATGCAGTTCATTTGATATTGGAAATTAAACTCTAAGTAAACAGTTATATTACTAAGCAAATAGTTATTCTCTGATCATTTTTATTAATCCTGCTCTTCACAATTGTTTGATGAAGCACATAATCTACTGTTGGAGAGAGTTGAAGAAGATGAATAGTTTTTCTTTTTTCTTTATTATCTATAAACTTTCACTCTCTTCCCTTTTTAGTTGACTATGTGAAAAGAAGCCCTTTCTTAGCATGTTAATTTCAGTTCATTCTGTTGCTTCATAATTTTTTCCCCCCTGAATTTCTTATAAATGTCCTTTTTATTTTCGGATTTTCACTTACTTTTTTTGTATAGTCTGATTTCTTCTGTTGTTTTCCTTCCCCACCTCATTGGACTTATTTGTAATTGTGTTTTCCCATCAGTCTTAAGGTCCTTTTCCCTTTAGCTTTACTAACAATTTAACTTACAGACTTCAAAATCCACTTTAAAAAATCTAAACATGTGCTGCACCCAGTTTTATTTTCCTTTAAAGTAATGAACTGAACAATTATAAGATCATTTTTTCTTAATATTCCTACTACTTTCTCATCTTCAAGAAACCTTTCCCAAATATTTAAAATCAATTTAAGTGACTAAAAGTTATTTCACTTGCATCAATCCCAAAATCTGATGATTGATATTGCTACTATGCCTTCTGAAATAGTGTACTGTAATTATCTTTCTTCATTGGATACAACCAGTTATGACATGTCTGTAAAAGTAAACAGTTTGATTTATTATTTAACAGTATTTTTCAAACTGAGATCTCCTTACTGAGTCCATCTGTTAATCTTCCTTGAAAAAATATCAGCTGTTAAAATATACAAATACTAATTGCTGTGATTTCACTATTGTTTCTAAACATGTTACAATCAGATTGCAAATGTTCTTACTTGTCAATTGCAGATGTTTTGGAGGGAGAAATTGCTGGGTTAGTTTAAAATCTGGGAGGTTTTTTTTTGTTCTAACCAATTAAAGCAATGAGTTTGTTTATGGCATAAAAGGGAAATGGGGAAAGTGGGAGATACTCCTCAGAGACATTGTGATATGTTTGAGTTTGGGAAAACAAAGAATTTTAACCATACAAGACATGGAATTAATGCTGATATGATGCTTTTTCTTTGGGTTTTGAAAAACATTTATTTTTCCTGGTTCTTTTTTTATTTGTGTGCTTTATTTGTGTAGAACTCCTCACTTATTTGCTGCTTACTGTGCCATAATCGATTTCTTAGCTGAAGATTTATGGGCATTTGTTGCTCAAAAAAGAGGAAATTACTGAAAACTTGAAATAGATATATCAGTATCTTGGTACAGAAGCTACCAGTAACTTGGTACAGAAATATTAGTACTGTTGCCTCTCTTCAGCCAGCAAGTAATTTGCATTGTTTTATATTTAAATAAATTTACTTTATGCTCACTGGGGAACATTATAAATGCTTGATTTAAATGGCACACTGTTGGTATTCTTAATAAGAAGGGATGAAGACAAAGGATGCCTTTACTCAGTTAGAAGGGAAGTTATCCGTTTCTGGCAGGGCAGGGCAAGTCTTCAAGAGAATATTTTACTTCAATAAAGGCTTAAATGAAGCACTTCCTCGATGCTGCTTCAGGATTTAACAGGGAATTCTCAGAAATAAGAGTTTGCTGAAGAATCAACTTCCCATCAACATTTAGAGGCTTAACTGAGCAATTTCAACATTGTCTGTTCCTGTGGAGATCTATTAAATTACACTTAGTGGAATCCTTCAATCTTCCTTTGGTATTCTTTCTGGACTTATACTTTAAACCATGCATTTTATCTTTAATTTATACCCGAAAACAAAAATATTGTGACACTACTGTTATTTTTAACATAAATCAAAATCTTCAGGTAAAGAACAGCTGATATCTGAAGGATAATTCTTTGAAATCCATGACTACACTGTATTTAATAGAAGCGAAGTCTATCATTTTCATTCATACATATACATTGGAAAGGCTACAAAAACAACATTAAAATATTTTCTACCAAAAATACAGTCAATATGAAAGCTTTTTCAAAGTTATGATAGCATATTGTACTTTGTCACCTGTCAGTATAACAAAAGCTTATTATTGGGAATTGGAAAAAATAAGCAATTATCTTAAAAAGTTGTCTGTTACATCTCTCTGGACAGCAGCAAATTGTTCTGACCAAGCCTTCCTAGACCATAACCATGCACACACTTATTTAAAAACAAGACTTATTTTATTGCAACACTGGGAATTATTTTTTAATTCCCAGCCAGAATTAATCTCAAACAGTCCTTTCTTTTCTGTGAAGTGCTGCCAATAACAGTATCAAATGAACCAGAAAAAACAACAACCGAAGTACAAAGAGCTTCAAGAATGAATCTGAACCGAATGAACGACTTTGCTTCCTGCAAAGGTTTTGTCATCTTTGCCTGACTTTTATGCCTTATGGGAGGGGCAATCACCTCGCAGCCTTACTCCTGAGTCATCCCTTTTGTTTCAACTGCTCTTGCCTTCTAGCAGCTCTGTGCACGGACACATTGGGAACAGGCTCCCCTGGATCTTCTGCCTCACTGCTGCCAGACTCCGAAGGCTCCAGGGCAGCACCCCACTCCCAAATGGTCCTGGCCCCATCTCTGCATCAGATGCAGGACCCTCATCTGAGTCCTCTCAAAACTCCCTGACTGGTCCCTGTTCTTCCCCACCATCTGATTTTGATGCCATCTACACTGGCTGTTAGCGAACCACAACATAAATTTAGCATGTCTCAAAAATATCTTGGGAAGGCTTTCGTATTAAACACAGATAGCACAGTTTCAATTTATGTGGCTGTTTTGGTTTTGGTAGAACATTTTTGTAAAAAGTACAAATAAAATGCTATAATGGAAGCATCTATTCAATCATTTGTAAATTCAAATAGCTGCAAAAAAATGGAAAAAAAATTAGGCAGAGATTTTGAAAACAGGAGTATTTTATTTTGTCCCTGCTTATTTCTTTCCAGCCATATAGAAGATCAATCTTGGTACCTGTAGTACTTACCATAACAATACCTCCAGATTGCTCTTTGGTGCACATGCTCATTATAGGTGCCATGCCAATGGTGGTACCTTGGAAATAGATTCCACTAATGGAAGACAAGAAACTATGTTAAACATAATGAATACAAGGACAACAGTTATATAGGAACATAATTTTGGATTTTACTAATAGAGATGTGATATGGATGTAGGATTTTCTATATTATTGTCATTCCTCTAGAATCCTGCATTGGATTCTATCAATATATAGCCTATGTATTGGCTTTCTATTCACCAATTTCCTTTTTGTCATATCACTAGCAACATAATGTATCTAAAATTTTAAGTTCCAGTTTTGGTTTTGGTAGGCTTACCTGACTAGTTGTGCATTATCATGTGGTTTACGAGGTAGTAGTTTCATCTTTCGCCAATCCAGAAACTCGTGAAGAGTGGTAAAAGGATCTTGAGTTACTGTACACTTATCCACATCATTCCAGACTTCTATTCCAACCAAGGCTATTCTAATATTTAATGGCCTGTAGAACTGATGAGAAAACCAGATCAATATTCTGGAAGTATATTTGCGTAACTCCTAACGTTAATAAAAGAGACAAATTATTGATGTATAAATTATATAAAGACATTTTAAATAATTCATTGGACAACTTCCTACACAGTTTCTTGTCTCGGTCAGTAAAAATGATGCCTTCTAAAATATTTGATGGCATACAAGAATGTACTATTTGATTAAGAGCTGTGTGTCAGCATATGTGTCAAATTACACAGATGATTGCTACATTATAAGAGACAACAATCGATTCACAGCATTTTAAAATAGCACACATACAAGGGAATACCTTGAAATTATGTCAAATGTGTCATAAATTACTACTACTACTACTACTACTACTACTACTACTACCTCTGAGCTGGCTGAAGTATGCATCTAAATAACACTTGCAGGGAAAGAACAGCAGAAATAGTAGAAGAATCTGCATCTCCTTCTTAGAGTACCAGATAGGTCATGATCTGGTCCAGCAATTATCATGCTTTTGTATTCTTATATAATACAGATTTTCTATATACAAGTGTATTAATATGACCTGACTGTAAATATCTATGAATTGTCCAGGTCATGGTTGTCCCAAATATAGAGGCAACTGGACGTTCTCTTTTTTCTTTGAAGACATTTCGCTTCTCATCCAAGAAGTTTCTTCAGCTCTAACTGGATGATGGGGAATGGAAGGATTTATATTCCTTGCAGACAGCTGGTCATTTGCATGATGCATCCTTTTAGACAGTCATTGAGGCCACTTGGAGGTTTATCTGTGCCCTCTGGATCACCTGAGTAGTGCAAATGGGTGTGGGAGCCTTCTTGGAACTGCTGAAAGGATTGTGTTGTGGAGCTGAGCTTTCTGCAGGATGTTTTCTGCCCTGTGTCCCTTCATTGTTGAACACAGGCACAGACTGTTGGGGATGAGTCTGCGTAGTCTGAATCTAGTATGGCCATGAAATAGATTATATAGTATAGGTTAATTTGGATGAGAAGCAAAAACATCTTCAAAGAAAAATAAGAAAGTCCAGGTATCTCCTGAAAAAGCACCTTTGGGATGACCTGACTGTAAGATTAGACTCAACTGGTTAGTCAAGCAGACTGCTCTATGGCAAGGAAATTATTATAGCACCAATGAAAAACTTACTCTATCAACGTAGTTTGCAATTTCTATCAGTCTCAGTTTCACTTTTTCCACATCCTTGCCTTGTCTCTGAAACTAGAAAGGATTTTTAATCATTTGAATTATCAACAATTATATTTATTGCTCTATAAAGCTAACTTTATAAAGCTAACTTTCAGAAAAGCAATAACACCAGTGTGATTTTACATGGAAAAAAGGCCAGAGGCAACTTTCTACTGCTTATAAAGTAGAATTCTTATATAATTGAAAGAAGAACCGATTGCGTGAAAGAATATAGTTTTTCAAATTTAAAGAAAATGTTGCTTTTAATTCTGCTTCTCACACAATTGTTTCATTGGGACACTTCATGCTGTACAAAAAGGGAAAAAATATTTAGTTGTTTGCCATGGATGGACAAGGAGAAAATATTGCTATTTAACTAACCAGTACTTTTTAAATGTAGAAAAATGCAAATGAGGATATAATTCAATTTTTTTAAAAAAAAATCTGATTACACTTCACAGCTTCCACTAATTTTTATGAAGTGTGTCATCCATCTATTGTGAATTTCTTTAGCAAAACATTAACAATTTATGCATCCTTGAATGTAACTTGTAATTGGTAAGCTACATCTAAAGCAGGTGTGTCAATCTCAATTTCATTGAGGCCACATCAGGGCTGTGGTTGGCCTTGGGGGGCCAGCTGGGCATGGCTGACTGGGTGAGCATGGCCAGCTTGATACCACTCACTGTGTGTAGTCTACTCAGTGGACATGGCTGACTGGGTGGGCGTGGTCAGCTTGACACCACTTCCCCAACTGCTGGCATGTTTCCTCTTTGCATTGGGTAGACTGGGCTGAAGCCATGCTGGCCCAATGTGTTCTCTTTGCATTGGTAGACCAGGCCGAAGCTATGCTGGCCTGATATTTCCTCTTCACATTGGGTAGACTGGGCCGAAGCCATGCTGGCCCAATGTGTTCTCTTTGCATTGGTAGACCAGGCTGAAGCCATGCTGACCTGATATTTCCTCTTCGCATTGGGTAGACTGGGCTGAAGCCATGCTGGCCCAATGTTTCCTTTTTGCATTGGGTAGACCGGGTCGAAGCGACGCAGAACGGCCCCTTACATTTTCCAGGACGGCCCTGAGGGCCAGATCCGACCACATCAAGGCCTGCATATGGCCCATGGGCCTTGTGTCTGACACCCCTGATCTAAAGAAACCAATACCATAAAGGTTTTCTTATTTGCACAAGAATTACCATTCCCTCTGATTCAAAGTTAGGCAATGCAGCAAAGATTTAAATGTCCAAATGGGACAGATTATTATTTTAATATTGCGTAGAAAATTCAGAATAGGATTAATATTATTCCATTAATTTATAAATACATGTATGTCAGGGGTTTAAACACATGGCCTGCAAACTGGATGCTGGCCACATCCATGCCTGGCTTAGTGAAAAGGAAAAAAGTTGTGATACGTCACATGACACCACCATGATGACATGAGCTTGACACCCCTGGTGTATGTTTTTATACCCACAATCTTTTTTAATTTTAATTTTTGCTTACCTCACGATTATCAGCCACAATAACGAGCTCCACATACTTGGTGGATTTTAGAGTTTCTCTTTTGTGCTATCAAAACAAGCATGAGATAAGAGCTGTTATTGTGTTAAGAAGATCTACATTTCCACGTATATCTTTCCACCACAGTGCTGTATTACCAAGCAACTTAAATATTACAAATAATTTATTGATAAAAAAAATTAACCAATCATTTTGAAGGCGGATTGGGCATCCAGGTAAAAGGAAAATCAAAATTTCCTTAGCTTTAATAAGCACCAAGGTTATTTCAAATATCATATTCTGGATATATTACTCATTTGTACTTCAGTGTTGAATAAAATTTGATACTTTTCAAAATTAACATATCACCTATAGATCATTCTATACTCTAAAAGCTGCTATAACAACCACACCAGCCATATCATACTCTAAACATGGGATATTTCCATGAATTCTACCACTCTTATACCTCAATTTATAGCAATAGCAACAGCACTTAGGCTTATATACTGCTTCACAGTGCTTTACAGCCTTTTCTAAGCAGTTTACAGAGTCAGCATATTGCACCCCAAAATCTGGGTGCTCATTTTACTGACCTTGGAAGGATGGAAGGCTGAGTCAACCTTGAGTCAGTGAGAATTGAACTACTGAACTGCTGATAGCTGGCAGTCAGCAGAAGTAGCCTGCAGTACTGCATTCTAACCACTGCGCCACCTATGCAAATAGCACCTACTTTACAAAGCAGTGTAGTTGTTTATACACTTATTGTATTCAGATATATTTTCATGAATAAAAGTGATACATTTACAAGTACATGCCTTAAACAACTCCCAAAATGTGAAACATATATTAACATAAATGTATATGTGAAATTATAAATATAAAATTAATTTAAGATATATGCACATAGTTACAATGGGGAATATTATATATTCTGATTCTTTTTCTTTGCATTTTAAAAAACATTTATTTTTCCTGGTTCTTTTTTATTTGCATGCTTTATTTGTGTAGAGGTCCTCACTTATTTGCTGCTTACTGTAGCATAATCAATTTCTTAGCTGAAGATTTATGGGCATTTGTTGCTCAAAAAAGAGGAATGATCCATTTTCTAGCAATTAAAAAAATTAAAGGAACTTTCAACAGTATGTATTATGTATCACTTAAAGCTTTTATTGTATCAAATTAAATAGTGTTTAGTGTGGTGCATGTTAAAAATCATTCCTATTACAATTCCTACAAATAAATAGAGCAGTCCAATTTGATTTCTTGTTCTAAAAATTTCTTGTTCTTTGATTTCCAAATCATCTCAATCTGACATACTGAATTTAGAATCTTTAGCAAGTATTTTAGAAGAGACACTATGCTTGGCTAAAAGACATCAGTCCATTCATCATTATTAATCACTTACAAAAAGTAGTTACTTTCAAGAACATCACTCCAAAATACACAACAGGTAAGCTTTTATTTTTGTAAATTATGGATCTGATCTTCTATTATTAGGAGTGTGGTAATCTAAATATGAAGACCTTGGTGCTCTCTGAGCTTGGTTGTCTGTTAGCAAACATCTCATTACCCAACTACATAATATCATCAGTCCTGGTGTGGGGTTTGCTCCCTCTTTATATACAGTAACTTGCACTGCATTGTTGGTGGGAGGCTGTTTTTCTCCCTGGGAGTTCTACAAACAAACAGACAAACACATATACTTTTATCAGCTGGCACCTCAATTTTGAGCCATAACACCACATTTGTCTGAATATATACTATAAAAATGTGAGAAAACTAAATTAAATCAACTAAAACATGAAAAAATTAAATTAAATTGTCACTTACTCTGCTAGTAAATGTCTGTGCAATAAACTGTGCAGTATCCCGCAAAGTGAGGCCTGTAAGATTGAGATGATGGCCACATGTACCCAGGATTAGGTTTGGGTGTTTTAGTCTATAGATTATATGTTCACTCACAGCACCTTCCAGTGGCTCCAAAATGTAGGCTCTATCTTCAAAAAAAATAATACCCCTGTGATATAAAAAAAATACAAATGAAAAATTCCTTTATTGTATTTAGTTTATATTTTATTTGCAACCAAATGATATTTTTGTAAAGAGGCAATATGCTATATATTTAAAGTCTGAAAATGTACAAAGAAAATTCTGCAAATTTGTAATGTTGGTGTACAGTCCATTACTTTGAAAAAACGATTATTCCTTGTATTTAAACACTGGAGACTGGCATCAAAGTATATTTATGCTTCATAGTAATGCATTATCATCACTTCAGATTTTCAGTTGTTTTAGTTAACATGACTGCCTATAAAATTAGCCTTCATCCTGTGGACCACTCAGCCCAAGAATATTACAAAACAAGAATTATGGATATAAAAATAGGAATTTGGGTCAGTTTACTAAATCAAAGTAATTAAGGGAAAATTCAAATTGGTGTGTTGAGAAGATAGAGAAGAAAGGTGTGCACATAATTTATCATCAGCGATACAGCTGTCTGCAGTTGTTTTAAGACAGTGATCCGAGGGTGGGATTCAAATTTTTTAACAACTGGTTCTGTGGGCGTGGGTGTGGCTTGGTGGTCATGTGACTGGGTGGGCATGGCCAATTCAACATCACTCACATCAAGGGACACTTCTTCTCGCCTGGCCTCTCATGACAGTGGGGATGCTGCAACTGTCGTAAGTGTGAAAAATGGTCATAAGTCATTTTTTTCAATGCCATTGTAACTTTGAATGGTCACTAAATGAACTGCTGTAAATCAAGGATTATCTGTACAAAAATACAAAAAGCTTCTTTGCCTGCATAAAGCTGTCCTAAATACCAATCTTCAGATTAAAAATACCTGCAAGCCAGAGTTACAAATCAGGCAGGGTGCCAGAGTACCTTGAGAAATTAAAATAATTAAAATGCAATGATAACTATCAGCAGCCAACTTTTGCTCATAAAGTGAAACCCTTTAGCTGAGAGGTCGTTTAAACTCTCCAGAAAGAGCACATGGGGAAAAGCAATCTTTAGATCCATTTGTACCACTTAAAGACACCAGCTGGTCTCACTCACCTCACAAGAAACCATCCAGATTTAAGGAAAGGTCACATGCCCCCCAGAAGTCAGTAAAAAAAATCAGTGCCAAGCTTGCATCCTGCCTCTTGGAAGTACACCCCAACAGGACAGTGCCAGATGCCACTAAAGCAGTGAAGGAAGACTCCCTCCCCAGGTAGAAAAAGAAACCATGATGCAGGAAAAAATTCAAACACAATACAAATAATTAAATCACAACAATAGCTATTGCTTGTTAAACCAATTACCAGAACAAATAGACACAGGAACTAGCAGATTTCTCAAACCAGTTTCTTTTCAGGAACAGAGATTAATCTTTTTTTCTTCCAAATAAAGCTGAATAGGGAAAATTAACCCATCAATAAACACAGGATTAAACATCACCAAGCACAGAGTTAAACTTCACCAAAAAACAGTTTTAGACCAAAATTCAGAAAGGGTATGTAAACTCACGTTTGAAGGTCAATCTTTCTAGCTAGTCAAGAAGAAGTATTTCCAGAGTACTTCCTCCCAACAGCAGTGTAAAAAGGTTAAAACAACCCTTCCCCTTTAAGAAAATGTCAAGGGGAAAAAAACCTCCTTCTGTGACTATTTAGGTGTAATTTTATATATTTAGTTGATAGGTAAACATAGTCACCAGGTTTGAATGCTTTATACTCTTTTCTTTTCTTTTCTTTTCTTTTCTTTTCTGCTTGTTATTTATATTCTAGTGCTGTTTTATTGAGAGTCTCTTTTACTTTATCCCAACTATCCTGAACTTTTTTCGGCCACATTTGGACATTTATGGGTTGTTGTTCATCACATTGTGAATCAAGGATTGGTACAAATTATATCCCATTTACTACCTGGAATGGCTATATCCTGTGCTTTCATGTAAAGCATTATTATATGCTTCTTCAGCAAATGGAAATAAATCAGCCCATTCTTGCTGTTGGTAAGATGTATATGATCTCAAATACCTTTCAATCATCGCATTAGCTCTTTCAGAAGCACCATTGTTGCTGGGATGGTATGCAGAGCTAAGACCTTGACAGCATCCTAAAAGGCATACAAACACCCTCCAAAATTGTACTGTGAATTGCACACCTCTATCCAAAATTATCCTCCTGGGTGTGCCATGTAGTCTATGTACATGTTTTATAAACAGGTTGGCTAATTTTGTTGTCCTTTACATGGTATAAAGTGAGCTTGTTTTAAAAACAAGTCTATAATAGTCCAGATTACTGTATATCTGTTACTACTGGGCAACTCCACAATAAAGTCCAGGACTATATCTTGCCATGGCTGGTTTGGATCCAATACAGTTTGTAATAGTCCTAAAGGTTTTCCTATTTGAAGTTTCATAGCAGCACAAATGTGGCATTCTTTAATGTACTGTTCAATGTCTGATCTCATATGTGGCCACCAAAACTGCCACCTAACCAAATGTAGTGTTTTTAAAAATCCAAAGTGTCCAGCCTGCCTTACATCATGACATTTGGATAATATCTTTTTCCTACAATTTGATGGAACATACATTTTATCCCCTCTCCAATACAACCCATCTTTATCTAAACAGGCAGTATTATTTGTTTTTATCCATACATCCATTTTTGTAGCCTCTTGTAATTCCTTTTTGGTTATCTCTTTTGTAGTCAACATCTGAATTTGTTCGGTTGACAGTCCTACAGAAATCATGGGCTGAATAGCTTCGTCTCTAGACACATTGTATTGAGGTAGTCTAGATAGTGCATTTGCCATGAAGTTTTTACCTCCTGGAACATATTGCACCTGGAAATCAAAATGTTTAAAATACAAAGCCCATCTTACTTGTTTAGGGGATAGTTTTCTCGGTTTCTATTCCTTTATTGGATATTCTGTACCCCAAATAATCCAATGGTGTACAGTGAAACTTGCACTTCAAAAGTTTCACATATAACTTGGCATCAAATAATTTTTTCAGAACTTTCCTCACTAAGGCCACATGTTCCTCCATTGTTCTAGTATAAATTAAAATATCACCTAAATATACTAGAACGCCACGATATAAATGTTCCTGTAATACTTTATTTATAAGTTGCATGAAGACAGTGGGTGCCCCTTGCAACCCGAATGGCATAATGTTAAACTGAAAACTTCCAAAGGGGCAATTAAAAGTAGTTTTCCATTGATCCCCTTCTCATATTTGAACTTGATAGTAGGTTTCTTGTAGTCCAATGTCATAAAATACCTGCCAGTCGCTAACGTTGCTAACAAATAGTTGATTAGTGGTAAAGGATATACATTGTCTATACAAATAGCGTTGAGCCTGCGGAAATCAACACAAAGACGTAATCCACCATCTTTTTTCTCACAAAATAAAACAGGGGCAGCTATATGTGATTTCCCGGGTTGAATAAATCCACGTGCCAAATTTTTATCTATATATTGTCTCATTTCCTCCATCTCTTTTGGAGTCATGGCATACATTCTTAGTTTTGGAAATTTTGCTCCAGGAATTAAATCAATGGTGCAATCAGTTGTTCTGTGTGGTGGTAATGTTTCACACTCCTTTTCACTAAACACACCTGTCAGGTCTTTATATTCTTCTGGATAACGTAGTTCTTCAGAATTGTCTATAGCTGTTACAACTTCCCTATTATTTATATATGGAGGGGACATAGGACCAACTGCAATTCGTAACTTCCTAAAACTGTCTTCCCACCATATTGTGGGCTTCCATTTGTCTAACCTTACTAGACCTAAAAATAGTACCTCCCTCATCTGTACTACAATAAATCGTAAAGACTCCCAATGACTCCCTATCTCTAGTTTGATAGGGGTTGTCTTTATTGTAGCAGGACTCTCACCTAATAATGAACCGTCCACTTTTTCAAAATGCATAGGTTCGGGCAGTTCTTCCACTGCTAACTGTAATTCATCTACCACTTTTTTACTAAGTAAACATCTAGTACATCCAGTGTCGATTAATGCTCCATACTGACCCCTCAATTTGCTTGTTAGTTTTTCCAATACTACTGGTATAACAAATGGTCACACAGGATTATGCACCAAATCATCCTCATCTGGACTGTCATCTCCACTATCATATAACCCCGAGACTACCTTGGCTAGTTGTTTGCCATCAGGTGTTTTCCTCTCATGCCTATTTGTCATTACCTCCGTGTTTGTTTTTTGTGACACCCCTTGAGATCTTTCGGAGGTAACTGTCCGTTCTTTTGTACCACGGGGCATGACACCACTTGGTAAATTGCTACTTGTGGCACTAGGAATGCAAGTCACCTGTTTTCTATTATTTAGTTCTATAGATGGACACTTGATGTATCCTTGACCTATCTTCAAATTGAACCTTGAGTGCATCCAAAAACAAACCAACATCAATCAATTCCTTTGCATGCACACTATGCAACTCTGCAGCCCAATTGGCAGCATCACCTGTTAACACTGTAGTTATCACAACTTTAATAGACCATTGAGAAGGATAGCAATCTGAATATAATTCTAGGTGGTTCACAATTTGGCTTACAAATAATGCTAACTTATCAGGGTTCCCATCAAAGGAAGTGTTTATAGGAGGAGGACCACCCCAAACCATTATTTGGCGCCAATATCCAGATGTGTCTGATGGACCCCAGGAGTGAATTGTTTGTCTATTCCCCATCTGCGCATTCCTAAATTCAATCCTGGAACCTGGGACTGGTTTAGAGGTTTTACTCTTTCCTGATACTCCTACTACATCTGCTAATGATTCATCTACTTTCATAGAAAATGCTCCCTCTGACCTCCTCCTACTCATATCCCTGCTATCTCTGGCACTTGAACTAAAGAAAGATGTGTCTTCCATTCTAAATCCCCTTCCGGGACTGTCCAAATGGTCTGGGGAGTAGAGTCATGAATGCTTAAGTCACCATACTTGACACGGAGCAGTTCCAATGTACTAGCGTTTAAACTGGTTGTAGAAGTATTACATTCATTTTC